GGCTTACGATAAATTGTCTTGGAGTTTTCTAACCTCTGTTCTCAGGAAAATGGGCTTTGCCGAGGCATTTATTGAAATGGTTTATAGACTTCTCTCCAACAATTGGTATTCTGTGATCATTAATGGAGTTCGATATGGTTTCTTTAAATCTTCTAGGGGACTAAAGCAGGGTGACCCCTTATCTCCTGCTCTGTTTGTTATTGCTGCTGAAACTTTTTCTAGAGCTTTGAATTACTTACATTTTAATGATAAGTTCATTGGTTTCTCTATGCATAAAAGAGGTCCCCAAATTAATCACCTTAGTTATGCATATGACTTAGTCTTGCTCACTTCTGGTGATAAGTACTCCATCAAGTTGATTATGAAACTTTTGTACAAGTACCAATTGGCTTCTGGTCAGGAGGTTAACAGGGACAAAAGTTTTTTTTCTGACCCACCATAAAACAGATAATCTTTTTAACAGAAGGATTAAAAGATGGACTGGGTTTACTCAATCCTCTTTCCCCTTTAATTATTTAGGTTGTCCTATATATACTGGTGCTAAGAAAATTTGTTATTTCTCTGATATTTCCAAAAAGATTCTTAACAAGATTGCAGGTTGGCAAGGAAGGTTACTTTCCTCAGGAGGTAAAGCTGTAATAATTAAGCATATTCTTCAATCTCAGACTTTGCATATTTTTTGCGTCTTTGATGCCTCCAAGCACTGTTATCAAAGAGATAGAAATGCAGTTTGCTAAATTTTTTTTGGGGACAGAGAGATGGGAAAAATAGCTATCACTGGGCTTCATGGAAAAACATGTGTTTTCCTACTAAGGAAGGTGGTTTGGGATTTAAAAGCTTAATAGATATCTGTCACACCTTCTCAGCTAAAAGGTGGTGGAGATTGAGGACAGAACCTTCTCTTTGGTCTCTTTTTTTAAAAGCTAAGTATTGCCAAAGGAGTAATCCAAACTCTAAGGTAATTGCTACTAAAGATTCCATGGCTTGGAAGGACTTGCTTTGTACGAGAGACAAGATGGAACAACACATCATATGGAAGATCAACTCAGGTAATAGTATGTTCTGGTGGGATAACTGGACTCAGGTAAATTCTCTTTTTCACATAATTAATCCAAATCACAAACCTGATAATGTCAAGGTTAACACCTACATCACTAACCATCAATGGGACTTGGACCATATTCAATATCCCATACCAATAGAAACCTTGAACTTAATCAAAGGTACTCCAATTGGCAATAGAGACACAAATGATAAAGCTATCTGGAAATTAAGTAATAATGGTTATTTCTCTTGTTCTACAGCCTTTGAAAATCTGAGAAAAAAAAATGTTGCTTCTCCAATATACAATTATATATGGATAAAGGAAATCCCTTTTAAGGCATCCTTTCTTATGTGGAGAATTTTGAGGAACAAACTTCCTATTGATTCCTCAATGTCCAGATTTAATATAAATGCAAATTCATCTCCGAGTTGTTCTTGTTGCAGGATTGCCCAACATGAAACTAATGATCATTTGTTTGCAGTTAGTGACATGGCCAGGCAAACTTGGTCCCAGATATCTAGACCACTTGGTTTCAATATCACAGGAAACACAGTCAACTCAATTGTGTGGCATTGGTGGAGGCAACATCCAAAAAACAACCTTCACAAATATATTTTTCTCATCACTCCTATTATTGCATGTTGGGAAATCTGGAAAGCCAGATGTATACAGAGATATGAAAAGAAAGAAGTTACTGCTTCTAACATATGCTTTCCAATTCTTTTTCAGGTTAAAGCAGCTATCAAAAAGAAGTTCAAATTTATAGATTACACCTGGAATTGGAGCAAAGTATGTCTTATGGAGGAAAACTTTAAAGCAATAATCACAAGCAGCATGATATACTGGAACAGGCCTAATGGAAATAATTGGAAGCTCAACACCGATGGGAGTTACATGAGAAACCAAAACAAAGCTGGAGCCGGAGGAATTGTTAGAAATAGTATTGGGGACATGATTATAGCTTTCTCATACCCTACTCAATGCTACACTAACAATTATAGCGAGGCTCAAGCAGCTTTGATTGGTATCTCTTGGTGTCTTGGTCAACAATTTGAAGCTTTGGAGGTAGAACTGGATTCTCAAGTTGTGGTTCGAATGATTAATGGGAGTTGTAAACCACCTTGGAGAATCCACAACCTTATTGAAGACATCAAGAATAAGATTGCTCAAAGAAACATAATAGTAAAACATTGTTACAGGGAAGGAAATGAAGTTGCAGATGCTCTTGCTAAGTACGCTACTAATATACAAGAGCCGATCATTTACTTTCAGGAGTCTAAACTTCCGGCCGAGGTTAGGGGTCTTTTAAGAATGAATAAACTTCACTTGCCTTCCTTCAGGAGAAGACCAAAAAAGGCCTCTTTCTGGCACTACAACCCTCCATAATTCATTTCATCACTTGTTTCTTCCGTGTGCTACATTCTAGGTGTTTTATTTGGGTGCATCACATGGGAGATTAATGACTTAAGATCCTTTTCTGATCATAATCTCTATTAGGATATTTTTTGTATTCTATGATGTAAAAGGAGGTAAGGCTCGATATCCCCCTCCAACTTATGTATTTTTATATAGATGTAGTGAAATGGATATGGTAGGGGTCTTGCCAAAGCCCCCCATCACACAGGAGGTGAATACTTCTGTGCGAATGGTTTTTTGGTATAGAAAAAAAAAAAAAAAAAAAAAAAAAATCTTTGCTATCGATCATGAGTGTGTCCGTTTATATGTTTCGAGATTCTGTGCACATCAGTGGTGCCAGGATTTGAACTTATGGGTTCTGAATTCTACAATGACTTCAAATGCTAATAACTGATATTTGAAAGAAAGCAGACTGTTTTTTATTGATGGAGTATTTTATGTAAAATCGATCACAAGCCATTATAGTTTTAATGGAGTTGCTAACAATTATATCGTTAAACACGTTGTGAAGAGAGTTCAGGAAGAAGAAACATGCATTAACTTCAACAATACATACATGTGTATCTCAAAGAACAGGACATTGCTATCAGAAAACAAAACATTTTATTTTTTATGCCAAACAAAAGCTGCAATGTTCTAACACACAAATAATAATGAATTGATCATTTTGCTTAATACCAATTGGATACAAGACACAAGTGTCATGAATCAGAAAATATGCATTGATTTTTTCCCTTACTGGCCAGCAACAAAATATTCAAGTGGGAGAGTTTTGCTGATGCCAGCAAACCCCTTAAATTGAATATTACCAGTGGGAGGATCATCCACAATGATCTCATTAACTGGATGCGACACTATCGGCGTGTTAACTTTCAGTCCCTTGAGCTTCTTGATTCTATTCTTGTCAATATATCCACTTATTTCAGTGTCATAACTTGCCGGTTTGTGGAGCATCTTGAACTTGTGCTCAACTTTTTTTGCTTGCTGGATCCACATGTAGCCTGTGTTCTTCACAAACCCCACTTCGATCACATCAACAACAGGGAAGATCCCCAGTGGGAGTTTGAATTCTTCGAGTAGGGAAATCATCATTTTGAAACCTTCCTCATGCCCCTTCTTGACAATTGCTCCTTCCTTCTCTGCCATAGATTTGAATTCTCAAAAGAAAGAATGCTTCTTCTTGATTACTACTATTTTTGCTTCTCTGCTTGAAAGAAACTGAATTTATTGAGGAAAAACCAATGAAAGCTATGGTTGTTGTTGACCATATCAGATATGATTCCAAAACATCTGGCAGAATAGTTATTTTTTTAACTATGCAAAATCACACCATTGACATTCTGATATTGTGCAAGACATGGTGCTCAAGTCATGCTTGCAATTATAGGTAAATATTCTCTAGTTTATAAAATTATAAAACAGAAAATACAGAAATACTTTTTCAACTCTTTTGTGATTCTTGATTTATCAATAGTTATCAGTTTTCACTTGTTGCTGGACCTACGTTTTATCAAATGCAATTTGTCTACCCTTTTCTTTGTTCATTCCAAGAATAAGATGACAATTTTTCTACATCAAGAGGCATCCAAGGCCATGGTTTTAATTAAATACCAGTAATCCATGTGTGGTATTTAAAACGTCTTCCTATTTATATTGAGAATCTTTTAGATAGGAAATCTAAATAGTTGGCAGCATTTTCGATGTTTTTGTTATACATGGGGAGATACATGTATGAAACTACATGTCTTATTATCTTTTTCTATTTTTCAACCACGAAGATCGAATGACATAAGAAAAGGTTTTTTCTTGTCTGATTTTAAAATTTCCTTAATTAGGATTTGGTCTATACCTAACCTTGGGTTAACACTACAACAAAAACAACTTTTAGCCGCAATAAATATTGACATTAATAAAGAGTATCAGAGTCTTTACCGGCATTAGTTAAGTGTCATTAGAACCAATGTCAGTAAAGGCTTTAGGGACATATACAAAGACTAATTGCCGCTAAAAATACATATTGCCGCTAATGATCATTTTTTATGTAGTGTAATTTACTTCGCTTACAAATAGGAACTTTTTTTCGAACGTTCGATTGAGGCTATAATTAGAGATACCATTGTTTTTATACAAAATTCCTATAAAAATGAGAAATGCCCTGCTTTTTTTACTTTGATCAGCAATTATCTGCTTCACCTTTGGCTACCCAGTGTTACTGAGCACGATAACTCAACAATTTAGATTTCCAAAGCGCACCCCATTCGTTCTACTCGCAACAATACAACAAGTTCTTTGGGTGAAAAAACATTAGACATTTCACTTTCTAGAACCAACAGACGTATACAATAATTTCTATATACCGGGTCACTAGCTAAGGCCCCTAATAAAGGAAGACTAGGTAACAAAGTTTCTTATTGAGCTACGTACTTACTTAAAAACCGAGAAACCTCAGTTCCAAGAAATAATATCTTTCTACCAAGAAAGCAAACAATATAGAAAACACACAAGTGTCATGAATCAGAAAATATATATTCCATTTCCATTACTGGCCAGCAGCAAAAGCTTCAACTGGGAATGTTTTGGTGATGCCAGCCAGACTCTTGAATTGAATCTTGCCAGTGGGAGGATCATATACAGTTATCTCATTAACTGGAGGCCATAACATCAATTCCTTAGCTTTCACTCCCTTGAGCTTCTTGATTCTTTTCTTGTCAACATATCCATTTATTTCAGTGTCATAACTTACCATTTTACTGATCATTTTGAACTTGTGTTCAATTTTTTTATTTTGCTGGATCCACATGTAGCCTGTGTTCTTCACGAATCCCACTTCGATCACATCAGCAAGAGGGAGGAGCCCCATTGGGAGTCCGAATTCTTCGAGTAGGGAAACTGCCATTTTCAAACCTTCCTCATGTCCCTTCTTGACAATTGCTCCTTCCTTTTCTGCCATGGCTATTACTAACTAGCTTTGAATAATCTCGACTTTGTTATCAAAAAATTGCGTGTTCTTGATCACTATTTTTGCTTCTCTGATTGATCTAAACTGAATTTATTATGTGCTACTATGCGAAGAGACAAAATACTTGATGGACAAACCAATGAAACCTAAGTTTTATCAAATGCAATTTGTCTGCCTTTTTCTTGGTTCATTCCAAGAATAAGATGACAATTCTGCTGCATCAAGAGGCTAATCCAAGGTACTTGGCTTGGTTGGATTGGATTAAGGAACACTAATTACTAGAAAACAAGAAATTAACAACCGACAAAATTTTGTAGCTTAACAACAAAAATTTCATGATAAATTCATTTAGTTACGGATTAGCAATGAATTATATAAAATTTGAACTAGCTAGAAGTTTTAGCGACAGATTAGCTAATGTCTTTTTAGTAGTGGAACTAGGCCAATTTATGGAGTTATATGCCTATAATATGTTAATTTGACTATGAGCATGTTTGGATTGGCTATTATGTGCTTTTAAGCATATTAATTTGTAGTGTTTGAAATAAGATAAGAGAAAAGTACTTTTGTTTTTAAGTCAAAATAACAAAAATAAGTTGAAAATCATAAGCTAGGAACTGAAGTATATACATCAAAATAAGGTATTAGTGTCATTGCATACTTACATGATCAATATTCTGGGAATTTTCATCAAGTTTAGAGTACAGTCCTATCAATATTTATTTCTTTTCGATTACTTAATTATTGTGACACCAAAATTAAAAGAACCAAAAAGGTTCTATAATATGTAGCTGCAGCTAGAGCTAGGGGTCAATATCATGTAAACAACGAAGCAAACTTCAAGCCTTTTGAAATATGTCAAAAACTTTTTTTGTACTCAATCAAGTGTGCAGTGTTATGCACATACGACACTAGTCTTGACATTTAAGTAAAATTGACAATTTTAGTAAAATACCCTACAATTTCAATGATTTTTCTTATACATTCTTAATTACTATAACAATCCCAATTTGATGGTTTCAGCAAACTTTATTATTCGCAAGTAGGGGTGTGCACTATTCGGATTAAACCGAATAACCAAACCAAATCAAACCAATTTTTTATTTGGATTGGTTTTTTGGTTTTTCGGATTGGTTTTGGATTAATAAATTACTTTGTTTGGTTTTTTGCTTTGGTTTTGGATTTTAAAAAATAAAAACCAAAAAACCCAAAAAAACCCGAATTATATATATATATAAAGTTTAGGTTTAGAATTAAGTTGGAGTTAACCACTTTTGTCCTTTTTTGGTTATTGCCTTTCATCATGATTACGTTTATATTTTATATTTGAACCTCTATAATAGGTATAATTATAAGTATTGTGTTTTAAGTTTTACTTATGATTTATATTATAAAGTATAATTAAGAGAATCAATATTATTACTTTGGTTATGTTATTAATTATTGACATAACCGAATATCCAAACCGAAAAAAGCCGAATCGAACAAAGGAAAACCAAACCAAACCAAATTTATTTTGGATAGGATTGGGCTACACTTTTACAGACCAAAAACCAAAAAATCCAAACCGAATAGTGAAAAACCAAACCGAAAAACCGAATGCACACCCCTATTCGCAAGTATGCGAAAACTAAGATTGAAAAATTCAGGTCATAAAGAAGATAGTGGTGAGATAATAATAAATAGTCGTTGTAAATAAGAAGGCAAAGTCAATAAATTTATATGATATTACTGGAATTAAAATAAAAAGGGACTATTATATTGATTTAAAAATCGCTATCACGATAACGCCCGTCCTTATACAAGATTGGTTGTATTTTCAAGATCAGAATGAATTTCTTTGTTATTACATTACTCTATAGTACATATATTGCAACTACCTTTAATTTTCCCCAAAACAAGGAGTTGAATACATGAGTGGACTCTAGCTCATTGCTCATTTGATTGCACGATTGTCCCTTCAAGCTTTAAATAAGCTGATTTTTAATTTTTGTTTTTAAAAACCAAACTCATACCTTGAGGACCATAAATTTTTTTTAAAATACGAAACATAACTTGCAAAATATTCTAATGTGAAAATATAAGCTTGTGTCCCTAAAAACGTTTATCTTGAGGGACAAAAGTTTGAAACCAACCCAAAATGGGGGCAAAAAATGCAAATGATCCACTCTAGCTAGTTATCAAAGCCGCAACTTCAGTGTGCTTTCTAACATGGTCCAATCCTTCTTATTATTATTTTCTTGAAATTTTTGTGGCCCTCATAGCACAAGGTTTCTCCAAAAATTAATAACAACCTATATATGGTCACATAAAAATGTGAAAAGAAAAGAAAATATGATTATATTGTGGGTTGGACCACATTTAAAAAAATATATATATAGTACTATTTTTAGTCATATTTTTCCTTATCTTTCTTATTGTATACGCTCCAATTAATAGGTAATCATGCCTGTCCAGGTCAAGTTTTGTGTGTATATAAACACACAATATTAGTATAGTCTATAGACACACAAAGGAATACGAATTAAACTTAGACATTAATTATTTCATCTAAAGGAAGATTACATTTGTGTTGCTAGTAGCTCCTCCATCGTCTCAAAGTCACACAATATGACGGTCTGCTTCTTAACTCATGTCTTTTTTTATTCTTCTTCTTTTTTGGTTTAAATGCTACTTAATTACCATTCACAACCCCATAACTAAAGGAGAAAATAAAGAAGAATATATAATATAGTATAATAATTTTGCTATCGATCATGAGTGTGTGTTTATATGTTTTGAGACTATGTGTGCATACGTGGAGCCAGGATTTGAATTTATGGGTTCTGAATACTACAATGACTTCAAATGCTAATAATTGGATTCTAAATTTAATATATAATCATATTTACTAATTTCATAACACAAATATAGAGTTCAGGACGAAGCCGTAAGTTAAGTTGCCTTCTAGCTCCGTCCCCTCTTTGTGTTTGTGTTTTCCATTGCTTCACCTTAAATCCCACATTGGTTTCTAACTTTTTTGCACTTTATTTCTCTCTATACTCATGTTATATATATTCCTCTCCTTTTGTACTACAGTAGCATAAGTGTATAGTGAGAAATAAATTGGAGCATTATTTGAGTCTTCTTATAAATATGTGTATGTTATCATGATTACATTCCTCTTCTTATTGTTTTTCTTTAAAATGATATGTCTCGTTCTTCTTCGGTATATATTTGAAAATATGAATGAGGTTGAAGACTAGAGAGGAATGAGAAAGAGCTACCTATATATAGCTAATCTCTATTTTGAAATGCTAGTACTAAAAAAAAGTTTTTGTGACCATGTTTTTTTATACTACTCCCTCCGTCGATTTATGTGACTTTTCGTTTTCCAAAATTTGAACTAGTTGAATTTTTTTACCAACATTTAAATATTTTAAAATATTGAGTTGATCATTAAATTCGATAGTTCAAAAATTAGCCAATTTGACTCTCTTCAGAAGTTAAAAATGTCACATAATTAGATAATCCTAGCTTGTAGTCTAGTACATGAATATTTAACATGAGTATGATCTATTTATCTTTTAAACATCTTTGTATCTTCTAGTCAAATGAAGATAAATAATACTAGTAGTAATGAACACTTCTATAGTCATGCTAAAGAAGAGAACTCAATACTATGTGCATGTTACTAGCTATTCTTTTTTCTGTTGAGTATAAAAGGAGAATTGTTTTAAGGTTAGTGGCTCGAAAAGAATGCAACAAAGAGTAAGAAAATTTACTAATTAGTGACTCTTCCACTCCAATATCTCTACTTTTTTTAATTAATAATGTTAAGCTAAAAAAAAATGAGCTTATATATATAATTAAAAAAAAAAAAGGGGGGGGGGGGGTTTCATGATGACTTGCCATATTGCGCCGTTGCCGTTATAAGAGAGATTATATATTAACAAATAAATGCTTAAAATAGGGAAAGTGCTATGAATGATGATACAAATTAAACAATTTAAATTATATTTTTATTATATTATGTGATGGCAGATTAGTTATAATCAATTTTTATAATATAAATTTATTTATAATTTTATCATATATAATTTGATTGTATAAATATTTTAAATATAACGAGACGATCGTATAATAAGCTATACATTATTCATTTTAGATTGTGGAAATGAGAGTGCACATGGATTGTCAAGGATGCGAAAGCAAAATAAGGAAGGCTCTCAAGAAGCTTCATGGTTGGTATTAATTTCTTTTTAGAAACATAGAATTAGCTACTGAATGTGTGGGTATTCTTTAGCTAATTCGTAGCTAAATAGATTCTAAGCTATATGAATTTTCTTAAAATCCGTCCTAACTTATAACTAAATAAAATTAGCATAAAATTTTTATTGTTTAGCTATAAATTTTGTCCGTTGCTAAGTCCTTATTTTTCAATAGTATTGTATATCACAATACCTTTTATTTAGATTTTTTTTTTATAAGACAACCCTGCCCAGCTTTGTAATAGAATTATAATTAATATGAAAGCATATCTTATACAATGATATTTTCCTATAAAATAATTTTCTTACAACTTTTAGTTGGAAATTTAAATTATTATATATCCACCAAATAGACATATGACCAAAGTCGTCATTCACACAGCTGGTGAATTTTTTTCTGTCTCCAACTCTCCATGCTTATTGCTTGGATATGGAATGGATTTTTCTCATTATCCAATAATTCTTGGGACCTAACTCATTAAATATTAATATGATTTGAAGAATTGATCCTTTTTTTTTTATCCTTATTCTATTAATTTGTTTTCTCAAGTGTAAGAGTAGTGCGAAATACTAGGGGTTTGACTAATCAATTCGAAAATACTTAGTTAATATTAGAATAACAATTTGTGCTTGGCCAAGACTCAAAACATGCTTCTGGGAAAATACTATTTTTTTCCAACTTCTGGTATTGTTAAAAAATAGAGTAATTGATTTGTTACAAAACCCTTGAATATACTTTTGTTTCATTTTTGGTATTCACAGGAGTGGACAACATTGACATAGACATGAACATGCAAAAGGTGACAGTAACAGGGTGGGCAGATCAGAAAAAAATCCTCAAAACAGTGAGAAAAACTGGAAAGAGAGCTGAACTATGGCCATATCCATACAATCCTGAATACCATAACTACATGCACCATTATTATTATGATACATTCTACAGCAGGCCGGGCACTTACTATGCCCCGCCTTCTTCCTACAACTACCGTGTGCATGGCTACAATGGCCATGCTCACGGTTCCTATGCAGAGCTACCTTACAATACCATTTTCGATGAACGAACCAGGCACATGTTTAGTGATGACAATGCAACTGGTTGTTCTATAATGTGATTTGAAGTAAAATTAAATATGCTCATTAGGGGGTTTTGCAATTCTCTGTTTGTTCTCTTTTTGTCTCTACTTTTCCCTATATATATGTTTCATTTGCTACAATGAAATCAGAATCAAGGTGTACTATAGCTGTGTTCTTTTGCTTGCATTATCCAAATTTAAATTTATATATGTATTTTTTTCCCTTCATATTGTCACACTATTGTACTTCAATTTACTTTACCTTTCGAACACGGAAAAAATCACATAATATGTCATAGTTAACAACCAATACAGGGTACAATGCTAACATCAACAGTCTTCCTATTGAAACTGGTGACGGAGCAAAGGGTGGTCAATTAAACACCCTTCACCAAAAATCATATCACTATACATATATCTTGAATATGCTTAACGAAAAACCTGGCTTATAGCCAAGTAAACCAGTAGTGTTCTGAAAAATATACATTTCCAATCAATTATAGCGTTTTGATTTCATTTAAATGTATGCTGGATTGCTTTCTGTACAACTATATGAGTTACAAGCTAGGGGTAATTAAGGAGGAAGATTCGGGTTGCTTCTCTTGTTGCTTTATGTGGTCTGCGACATGAGCAATTACTCCTACTCCAGCATTGTGAAAAAACTCATTCTTCACCTGTCAACGGAAAATAGTGATTGAATTAGAACCCAGACAGGGAGGAACATAAGGAAATGGAAGGAACTTACATGGATATTGTTATGTGCAAAAAAGGGCCAGAATGCTGAGTGAAAGCTAACATCAATTTTTTTCCACCCCAACTGTTGCAAGCCACGTATCATTTCCTCTGTTCGAAAAGAGTAGTAAGATTCTAGTATGATATAGAGATAGTGGCATTGAGATTCATTGTAACAAACAGAAACAGCTCTATTAGTACTATTACCTTCCATACTTTCATGATATTTTAATGTCCTCTGTGTGCTTGGTGCATTTTGGGCTGCCTCCTTTGCTTTGGCTGCCTCTAAGGGGTAATGAGGTCCTTCGCATGAAGCTGGAGGACAATACTCCACATCTACTACATGTTTGTAGCCATCCAAAGATCGCCAAGGGGGCTGCCATTTCAATAAAATTTTAGAATTGTACACAAACAAAATCGTTGTGTAATGAACTCCTAAGAGAAAACTCTGCTTCCAGATCATTATTTTTCAAAGTTCTACAGCTAAAATCCTGCTAATGAATAAGATTTCATGATACCATGCTTTTATGAGTATTATATTCATCCAACTATGAGAATCACAAGTATGCATGCATGACACAGCAGATACTTAGAAATGAAGACTAATAAGACATATCCAGCCATAAAATGAGCACAGTGCGAACTATTCTTTTGCCATTTACTAGAGGATATCAGTGTCAGTTGCATAAAGTATACACTTCCTCATTTAGGGAATGAAGAAAAAAAAGACTTATAAGTCATTGAATAACTGTGCTGAGAATCATAATTTGAAGTGCCAGTTGAGGAGAACTGAACAGCTCCCTCAATGTAAAGATCAATTGCATCTCATCCCTCGCCTGACAGTAGGCAACTACAACGGACTTTTTTCCAGGGCTAAAACAATAAATTAAATACTTCTTCTTTTCATTCAAAGTAAAGTCATTCTTTCATCCGGGACACACAGTAACTCACCATCATATAAGTTCATTTCATCTCTGGAAAACTACCAAGTAATTCTAACTTAAAATATTGTAACAACTACATACCCAATGTAATCCCACTAGTGGGGTCTGTGGAGGGTGGTGTGTATGCAACCTTACTCCTACCTTATGAAGGCAGAGAGGTTATTTCAGATAGACCCCCGGCTCAAGAAAAACATATCAAAATCAGTAAGCAAAGGAAATACAGTAGTGAAGAGGTCATGTAGAAAATAATGGGGGCGACAACAAATAATACAATACTGAAGCGAAGGAAACAACAAGTAATAGTAAACTTGAAGAATAAGATAGTAGGAGAATATTAATAATAATACTGATAAGGATAAGTAGACAACGCTCGACTTATGCCCTATCTAATCAGCTACAGGTGTATCATGTCCTATCTGATCAACTGCAGGTGTATCATGTCCTATCTAATCAGCTTGCAAGTGTATCATGTCCTATCTAATCAACTCTCCCCAATACTTCTTCGGCCTACCTCTACCTCTCCTCATACCCACCATAGACAACCTCTCACACCTACTCACTAGGGCATTTATGCATCTCCTCTTTACATGTCCTAACAATCTCAACTTCGCCTCGCTCATCTTGTCCACCACGAAGTTCACTCCCACTTTGTCTCGAATATCTTCGTTTCTAATCTTATCTCTCCTAGTATGTCCACATATCCATCTCAACATCCTCATTTCCGTTACTCCCATCTTTTGGAAGTGTGTTCTTTACTGGCCAACACTCCGCCCCATACAACATAATTGGTCTAACAACCACTTTATAAAACTTACCTTGAGTCTAGGTGGCACATTTTTTTATTTATTTTTTTAAGACAAGGAAAACCCGCAGCCGCTATCCTTTGGGTGCGCACAGGGTAAAACTCCCGCTCCTATGCAATAGCTCACAAACCACACTGGAGAGGTAACCCGCACTACGCAAGCCCGGTGCGACGAGCTCGACCCAGAAGGCAAAGCTCTTGCTTTCGCTGGCAAGGGGTTTTGAACTTGAGACCTCCAACATGGAAGTCCCAAGCCCAAACCACTGGGCCACACCGAAGGGTAAGTCTTGGTGGCACATTCTTAACATAGTGTAACTTTGAGAAATCAAATTTCCCAAACAAGGAAGCTTGTATACAAGTAAAGGTCTAAAACCTGTAACAGTTTCTAAATTCTAATTTCAGTACACCAAACATAAAATCAAGGTTTCTTTTCTGTTTCAAGAGAAGATGCAAATGAAGTGTCAAAGTAATTTCCATTGTCTAATCCCCAACAAAGAAAACTTATATAGGTAAGTTACATGCTATCATGGATGGAGAGATGATTACCTACACATGTGCAGGTTATGTGCATATGCCTTTTCAGTTTTCATTATTGTCTAAGCAACATTAAAACCGAAGGTTCCAGTAGAAGAAAAGTTGATAGAGAAATTTTCCGGTTTAGGTTCACCTACTACAAGGCAGTTTATGGTACTCAAGCTATTTCATCTCATATCTGATATACCTTTAAGTTTTAATTATTGTACAAACAAAATGAAACTAATTAATAGTTCTGATATAGGGCATTCTTGCAGTTCTCATTGCAAATTTTACTTTGTACTTCCTATTGTTCTGGGCTTATTCAAATTGCAGTTCTCTTTTTTCCAAAAAAAAAAAAAAAAAAAAAAACTCAGTTCTCATATTGTCCCAATACCTCTTCGCAGGAATGTCAATTAGATCTGGACAAATAAACTTTAGATCGGGACCCTTGAGTAAATCGTGCTTAGCCAAACGAATTATACTTGAATGTCCTTTTCTGTTTTTATCTTGACTAAATGTCAACATTCACAGACCTATATTTATGGACAATTAAAGTAACAAATGAATAGTAAATCACAAATCACCTTGACAAGTTCTGTCACCCTTCTTATAGATGATGTACGCCAACCGACCATATCTAGATAATGTCAAGAAACCACTGCAATCACTTCAAAATATTGAGAGAAGAAGCACTGGAATGAACTTTATCAATGAATTAATTTTGCTAATTAAATGAAGAAAAAACAAATGAGATCCAACAGGATACGATCATAAGAGACATTAGCATAAAGAACACGCCATTTGAAAGCACCAAGCGCTGATCTGCAATAAGGAAACTCCAGGCATAAGGTAAAAAGAAAGGCATGGAGAAACAGCTGCTTCAAGGACTGGTGGAGATATTTCTACTCACATAAATTTTCCATCATCACAGTCTGATGCCATCCTTAGCAAAAGAGGTGGTTTAGTAGGTTTGCCATCTGTAAGGAAGAGCTGACTACCAGTTTGACCAACAAATATAGGAGCTATAGGTGCTGCAAGTTTCTCCAAGATTGGCAACCCAAAGAGAAAAGGAAGCTGAAAAGTAAAAGCTAATCAACTGTCCTGATGTCAGGGGCCATTACGAAGTGATCATAACACTTTTTTTCTAGATAAGCTATTAATAATAACATACCATCCAAATTCTGAGAATTTAAACACATTATGGTTTAAACTGATTCAAGAAAACACTTAGCGACTCATTCAACCTAACATTAATGTCCCAAATTATGATATCCTCTTATACCTAAGATAATATGAGCTCAGACAATAACTGGCTTCAGGTTTGTTAACACAGAACTTATTGACAGCCTGGTAAGGCATTTGTTTTTTGCTATACCATGTGGCTTAATGTTTAATTCATGGTTCTTTTCTTTCCTGATATTTGCTTTAGTGAAATAGAATGTGTTATGTTTCATTTTCTTGACTTGTAAATATTGATCGACACTTGTAGAATTTATTTAAGTAAATAAGTACTGGCATAGTTTCTCTCATTCAATATAAATTTCCAACTTTCACTTAAAATGGTGCTCTTATTTAAAACAGCATTTGATAAGGGAAAAAGATATTAAAATATAGTGTTCTTTTGGCCATTTCATTGATACCTGTTAAGATTTGTGCACCAATTAAAGGAAGGATCCACACAAAAGTAAAATAGGAGTAACAAGTATCTTTTGGATATTCTGCAAAGATGATGAAGACTACAAAAATTTCCAGCAGTTGCATGCCATGCAAAAAGCTTTTTCACAGCCGTGCATATCTACAGGCTTCTATCCTTTTATCCTCATAAAGCACACAATAAAAACTGATGATATCAACTTTTCTAGTATTTCACACTAAGCCTTTACTCTTATGAAGAATTCACAAAATTTTACTCCCTCGCCTCTGTCCCATTTTACATAATGGTATTTTAATGGACTCGGGGTCCAAAATTTATTACACTACTTTGACTTGTATGTATTACATCAATGACGGAAAATTTTGAAAAAGTTAAGAGCACAGAGATCACATATCTCAAATTTAAAATTTGAATTA